CACGGAGCGGCATATACGGAGTTTTGAAATCATTCCACTCTGGGACTCTAGTTTCAAAAATGTCGGTTCACCCCCCCACACCCCCCCCCCCGGGTGGGGGGGGGGGTGGGGGTTGGTGGGGGGGGGGGTCACACCCCCACCACACGGTGGGGGGGGGGGGGGGGGGGTGAACCCCCCACCAAACACACCCCCGGGGGGGGGTGGGGGGGGGCATATAACGCCGAAGAACGTATGGGTCGAGACCACTGGATTGAATAAAGTATTTGTTGGCGTTTAGGCCTGACTTGTCTTCGTGTGACAGGGCCATAGATCCAGGTATTCAATGGCAGGGGCGTAACCCGCTATGACGGCACACACAGGTTAAGCATAGACAACTTAAATTCATGAAAAACACGTTCTTTTTATAAAATATTAGGATTTTTTTTTTTGCCGAAAACGATTTCATAAGTATTTGTCAGGCAATTTTGTGTTACACTATGTTTTAAAAAAAACCCGTCATAAGGTCTTTTAATTCTAAGACATTCTGGAGACCGATGTTTCCTCATTATTTCTCAGTCCTGGAAACCAATGATAATGTCATTCTTAAGGAAAAAAATATGCTGCTTCCCTTAAAACTGTCTTTACAACAATAAAAGATTTTTCTTCTAGGATGGATGAGGACCGTAATATGCTACTGTTTACATTAGGGCTGTATATGACCATAGATATGCATGTCCAGCTATGTCCACCACAGAGTGAGGTTGATCGATTTGAGACTAAAAGCGGGCGTGACAAAAGAATTATTGAATGGACCTGAAGCGTCTCAAGGCCCGTTTATACGTGAGACGCTGCGCAGACGATTTTCCAGGCTATTAACAGAAACAACCTGGCTCCTAATGCAAATTTCTCAGTGTTCACATGGAGGTTGAAAAACGATGTATTTCAAGCGCCCGCATAGTGGGCAAGAGAAACTTACAACACTCACACGACCCCCAGCCCCATGCCCCAGCCCCCCTCTCGGTTAGTATAAGTAATTATTTTTTCCATTGTTTTCCCCAATTGTGACGTAACCGCAATCGGTCTGTAGTTTGATGGATCCAACGCATCTTTAGCAGGTTTTAAAATTGGAATGACAGTAGACTGTTTCCACACTTCAGGATCCTTCCTGTCTCCCACACATGGTTGAAAAATTGCAATACAGCTTCTAATGAATCATCTTCCAATTTTGCTAACATATAGCAAATTCCATCCTTGCCTGGGGTGGTCTGTTTCGCATACACAATCGCTCTTTTCAGTTCAGACAAAGTCAACGGTTTATCCATACTGTCCTCTGTAATATTCTTTTTGTTGACTATTCCTGGGTTTTCCCATAAACTGTTTATATTAACGGACGTAGTCACGCCTATCTCCGCCGTTCAAAATGGCCGCGGGGACTCGATAATGTAAAGAAACGCATCTGCGCATGCGTCAGCCGGCACGAGCTCCATTCATTTAAACGAGTGACTTCAAAAATTCACAGCGACTAAACTAGACTGTGAATTTTGCACATGTGTGCCAATAACGGAGCTTTGGGCCAATATTCAAAATTCTCTTCAACTTGATTTCAATTCAGTTCAACTCTGGCAACAATCTAGCAAACTTTTACTCAACAAATCCAAATCTAATTTTATGTTGTTCCAGAAACGAGTCCGTCCCATGTCTACTAATGAAATTAATCTTTTGTTTTTAGACAAGTCTCCACTCCCAATGGGCTATACGGTGGCTGAGTGGATAGCACTCTCGCCTCTCAGCAAGAAGGTCCTGGGTTCGAATCCCGGTCGGACCAGGGCCTTTCTGAGTGGAGTTTGCATGTTCTCCCCGTGTCTGCGTAGGTTTCCTCCGGGTACTCCGGTTTCCCCTACCACTAAAAATATGTCCAATAGTTCTGGCATGCGCCTCCTGTACTGGCGACCCCGCTCCCATCTCTGTGTGGAGTGAGAGACAAATGCCCAAAATTAACAATTGTAAACCGCTTTGAGACTCAGATCTGCAGTGAAAAGGCGGTATATAAATAAAAACTTACTTACTTACTATATGCACGGGGAGGCGTGACGTCATTTCCTGTTAACGCAGATCAGCCCGTTCACTTCCTGTCTATACTATTCTATGGCATTTAGGTGGGTTTTAGTGACGGTTTTTAGTAATTAGATTGATAGATTCAGCTGTGAGACTGACCCAAAAGTGTCGTTGTGCTTTCTCTCTGAGGAATAGCTTTGACTGTGGCCAACTTTATAAAAGCACAATGACAGCCCAATCAAAGAGCACTGTTGTGTCCCAAAAATGCCCAGTATCCTCACAGTTTAATTCCCGTTTGAGCATTATTTGGGAAACTCGTGTAAACCACTGCTGAACTCCAGTGAAACTCAAGCCATTTCCCGCGAACAGGAAGTGAAGTGGGGCTTTAGCTAAAACGCAGAAGTGGTGCGTGCATAGAGCCCATTGTTGATCAGTTTAAATACCTTGGTTTATGGCTTGACTCCTCACTCACATACAGACAATCTCAAACAAAATTTCATATCGTCTAAAATTATTTTATCAATCAATTAATTGCTTCAGTTTTTCAGTTAGGAAAATAATTATTTCACAGTTGATCCTTCCCATTCTTGATTACAGTGACATCATCTATCAAAACACTTCTGCCTCCATCCTCCAGCCTCTGAATGTCACAACAGCCTGTGTAGGTTCATTCTCCGCTGTCCTTTTAGGACCCACCTCTGTCTGCTGTACGAGCAGCTGTCGTGGCTCTCTCTGTCCTCCAGACGTCAGCTTCATTGGCTGTTTATTTTTAAATGTATCAATCTAAGTTTTCTTGTCTATTTAAAACAGGGACAGGGGCGGGGACAGGGGTAAGCCACGGGGGAAAGTCGCGAGCAGAGGAGAGCAACAAGCCGAGAAAAGCCACGGAGACGAGGCACGAGCAAAGGAAAGCCACGGAGGAAAACCACGAGCGGGTCCCGTCAAGCCCCAAGGAGACGTACTGCGAAGCGACCTACACACGGGCTCATACCCCCGCCTGCGCAGTAAGTAGCGGTCCAAGACACGTTTACCCCTCGTAGCCTTTGGCCTATATCCGTGTGCCTTTTCCTGCTCCGGTGTGCTCTCTTCCCCCAGAAGTCTACGGCCTGGGATCGGGAGTGGCAGCTGGAGCGGTCCAAGACGCGTTTACTTTCATAGCCTTTGGCCATATACGTGTGCTGTGTTCTGCTCCGGTGTGGACACTTCCCCCCAAGGCAGGGCAAGGCAAGGCCTACGGCCTGGGATTCGGAGTGGCAGCTGGAGGGCTACAATGTGTGGTACAGAGTGAGGACGCGAAAACATTGGGACGTACCGCGAAGCAATCTACACGCAGCGGCGCGGCTCATACCCCGCTTGCGCCGTAAGTAGCGGTCCAAGCCGCGTTAACCAATAGCCTTTGGCTTTATATACGTGTGCTGTGCTCTGCCGGTGCGCTCTCTCCCCCCAGAAGCCCCAGCCCATGGTCCGGAGCGGTGTGCGCCATACGCACTAGGGACTAGCGCCATCGAGCTGCCTCTGGCCCTCTTTCAGCCTCAGCCATTGGGGCAATCCCCACGGAGCCTCCACACCAGAGGTTCCTAGGTTTTAAAAAAAGGACTTTTTAGAGAACTTTTACAACTTTTATGCTTGTATTCTTGTTTAATAAATACTGCAATTTTAATAGAAGTTTTGTCTCTTTTTGGGAACACCACCATTGCTCTCATTCTCCATAACTAGATAATTTGGCCCTTTCACTCCTACCCAACCTTCATTCTCTGCAATTAAACTCCATTACATAATTACTAAAGAACGTCACTAAAACCCACCTAAAATCCATAGCGATAGCATAGGCAGGAAGTGAACGGACTGATCTGCGTTAACAGGAAATGATGTCACGTCTCCCTTTGCATATAGCCCATGCAATATTAAAAAAGGTTAATAAAATAAACAAGAATACACTATTATTTAGTGACTGAAATGAGACGGAAATTAGAAACATTTGTGTGAGAAAGAGCCCTGTGAGTTACTATCTGACTTTAAAGTTACATGGTCTCTGCTCTCCCTGGTCTCTCTGCTCACTAGTCCCTGGTCTCACTGGTTTCTCTGGTCCCTGGTCTCTCTGGTTTCTCTGCTCACTGGTCCCTGGTCTCACTGGTTTCTCTGGTCGCTGGTCTCCCTGGTCTCTGGTCTCTCAGTTGTCAGTCTCCAGTTTCCTCTAGAGCAGGAACAGGTTCATAATAACGACTATAATCAGAGGAAATACTTTTGTTTCTCATGACGCAGGAACATTCTTCAACAACCGGTTAAAGCTCTCGACTCAAAGAGGCAAATAGTTACAGACCCCAGCTTTAAACATGTGTTATTTATAAGACAAGATAAACTTTATTGATCACACAATGGATGAATGTACATGTCACATTTGGCATGGATAGAATCAGATTGTGCAAAAGACAGAAATGTGCAGCATATTAAGGTTAAAAATATACACTGCAGGATATTATGTACAAAAAGGAAAAAAATGGCAAGAAAAAAAGAGGCAATAGCAGTGCTGGTTCTTCAGTCCTAGTGCAGGTCATAAGTGACTTAAAATGACTTATTGTACAGTCTGACAGCGGTGGGGATAAAGGCCCTGCGGTATCGTTCCTTCTTGCACTGAGGGTGCCTCAGTCTTCCACTGAAAGAACTCTTTCAGTTACAGACCCCAGCTTCAATAAACATTACTGTTATTTGAGGCTAAAGTTGTCGTTCATCAGAGCCAAAACGCCTGCCGCAGACTCCCCCTGGCGGCCGATCGTAGCAGCGCAGCAGCAGCAGCTTATGGGTTAAATATTTGAGCAGTGAAGCTCAGGGCGAGGCTCGGGAACTGAGGAGAAAAGTCCTGGAAACCTCAGTCCGGGACCTCCGCGGGACACCACGATCTGCACAGGGTTTGCACAGGGTCTGTCCGGGTTTTTAAAGTTTAAATCAGGTTTTACGGAGTTTTGAAGATGGTGACGTTGGAGACGCACCAGAGCCAGGAGCTACAGGTCCCCGCTCTGGACCAGGTCTCGGGTCTGGACCAGGTCTTGAACTCGGGGCTGGGTCTGGTCTCGGGTTTTGACGCAGGTCTGGACTCGGAGCAGAACCAGGACTCGGGACCCAACGCCATCACGGTCCTGACGCTGTTGGACAAACTGGTGCTAATGTTGGATTCTGTGCAGAAAGACCAGCACAACATGGAGGTATGTATATACCTCATATAAACTGTTATATATACAGTTAGATACACTGTCATGTATACTGTTATATATGTGTGCGTAATATACACTGTCATGTATACTGTTATACTATTATATATACTGTTATACTATCATAAAAACTGCCATGTATACTGTTATATATGTGTGCGTAATATATACTGTCATGTATACTGTTATATATACTGCCATGTATACTGTTATATATGTGTGCGTAATATATACTGTTATACATACTGTTATACTATTATATACACTGTGATGTATACTGTTATATATACTGCCATGTATACTGTTATATATACTGTCATGCATACTGTTATACTATTATATACACTGTGATGTATACTGTTATATATACTGTCATGCATACTGTTATACTATTATATATACTGTCATGTGTACTGTTATATATACTGCCATGTATACTGTTGTAAATGCTTTCATGTACACTGTTATATATACTGTCACATATCCTTCATATATACTGGCTCAGTGATGCCACAGTGATGTCACAGTAACTGAGGGATTTCCTCCAGGTGCACCAGGTGCAGATGGAGGCGGTGGTCAGGGGGATCCAGGCTGATATGACCAAACTGTCCAAGAGCCACAGTCACACTGCAAACACTGTGAGCAAACTGCTGGACAAGAGCAGGAAGCTGAGTGTGACCATGAAGGAGGTGAGTGACACCATGATGAAGGTGAATGTGACCATGAAGGAGGTTAGTGTGACCATGAAGGAGGTGAGTGACACCATGATGAAGGTGAATGTGACCATGAAGGAGGTTAGTGTGACCATGAAGGGAGGTGACTGTGACCCATGCTGAAGGTGAATGTGGACCATGAAGGACGGGTGACTGTGACCATGATGGAGTTTAGTGTGACCATGAAGGAGCTGAAAGAGGGTGTGCGGTGTGTGTATATCACTGTGTGTGCGGTCTTTACACCCTGGGGTGATGTGTTCTCAGGTTCGCTCTCAGATTGGACAAACCGAATGTTCAGGTGAAAAAGCTGGAGATGAACCACCAACCACCTGATTGACCGAAACCAGTTTCGAGTACTCATCCCTTCCAGGTAACACACCCCTACATAGGGACACACACTACAGGGACACACACCCATTCTTGGGCTCATTGTTCTGAAGTGTTTCCTTCCTGTTTCCAATGACTGGAGAATATACATGTGTGAAGATCACCTGGTTGGAATACAACGGCTCGGTCTGTTCCTCGCCAGTATTTGTATTTATTAGCAGCCTTAGTCATAGTAGTCGTAGAAGCAGCCCTTCCAAAACACAAGTGTGTGCATGTCTCTCTCTGGTCTCTCTCTGGTCTATCTCTCTGGTCTATCTCTCTGGTCTCTCTCTCTCTGGTCTCTCTCTCTCTGGTCTCTCTCTCTGGTCTCTCTCTGGTCTCTCTCTGGTCTATCTCTCTGGTCTATCTCTCTCTCTGGTCTCTCTCTCTGGTCTCTCTCTGGTCTATCTCTCTGGTCTCTCTCTGGTCTATCTCTCTGGTCTCTCTCTCTCTGGTCTCTCTCTCTGGTCTCTCTCTGGTCTATCTCTCTGGTCTCTCTCTCTCTGGTCTCTCTCTCTGGTCTCTCTCGGGTCTCTCTCTCTGGTCTCTCTCTCTGGTCTCTCTCTCTGGTCTCTCTCTCTCTGGTCTCTCTCTCTGGTCTCTCTCTTTGGTCTCTCTCTCTGGTCTCTTTCTCTGATCTCTCCCTGGTCTCTCTCTGGTCTTTCTCTCTAGTCTCTCCAGTTTATCTCTGGTCTCCCCCTAGTCTCCCCCCCTGGTTTTTCTCTTGTCCCTCTCTCTCTGCTCTCTCTCTCTGCTCTCTCTCTCTGCTCTCTCTCTCTGCTTTCTTTCTAGTCTTACTCTCCTTTTCTGGATCAGGACCAGACAGAGATCCCGGCCTCGGTCTTTGTCAAAGACTCACCGCCGTTTCCTCGTGATGACATCACGGAGGAAGGGGAGGGGCTTGAGACAGGGGGGGCGGGACTTCATACCATCGACCTATCGTCTGATGAGGAGGTGGGATTGGAGGCGGAGCCAGAGGAGGACTGGAGTCAGGACCTGGACCTGGAGCTGGAGCTGGGACCGACCAGAGCCGAGAAACTGAAGAGGAGCAGTCTGAAGAAGGTCTGTGAGAACTTCTCTTTAGATCAGGGGTGTCAAACTCATTTTGGTCCGGGGGCCAAATACAACCTAATTGGATCTCAAGTGGGCCGGACCAGAAGATGCTCTACAAAAATACCCCAAAACGGTACAAAGTCCAAATTTTTGTGCACATAAACACATTCATATAATAGTTCCTTTAAAACACTGTCCTTTAATACTCACTTAGTTTTAACCGTAAATCTGTTACAAACTTAAATGTAACAATGAGTTTTTCATAGTGCAAATAATGTAATGTATTTAAAATATTCACAATATTTATATTAATAAATGTATGTTAGCTTTGTTTTAAGGCTCATTACAGAGAAAACTTGCTCACAAAGGTAAAGTAGGTAGATAGAAAAAAGCACTTTAACACAGCACCTCATAATTATCAGAGAGAAAGCATCGAACTGACCATGAGTCAGATGAAATGAACAAAACAACTTCCATAACGTGATCCATTCTTAACGACTGCAGCGGTGTCTCTGTGTAAAATACAGTCAAATGTCCAAAAATCATCAACTACACCTGCTTTTACCGTCGGTACCAGGCTGACAGCGTAGGACCAGTCCACACTGTCCAACAGCACCAGCAACAACAGCAGAACCAGCAGCACCAGCGCTCAAAACTCCTCTGATAGTTTCAGTAACACCACAAATGAATCAGTACAGACGCACTGGACTCGCTGCTACAGACGCACTGGACTCGCTGCATAATATTATTATTATCATTTTACATAAACGAGCCGCGGGCCGCATCAAATCTCTTGGCGGGCCTGATCCGGCCCGCGGGCCGAATGAATGACACCCCTGCTTTAGATAATCTTCCCCTAACACTTCTCTGGTCTCTCTCACTGGTCTCTCTGGTCTCTCTCTGGTCTCCCTGGTCTCACCCTGGTCTCTCTCTGATCTCTGGTTCCAGGTGGACTCTCTGAGAAAGGCCTTTTCGAAGCAGAACTTTGAGAAGAAAATGACAAAAATTGGGACCAAACTGGTTTCAGCTGAACAGAAGCTGAAGATCAAGTCTCCGGTGTTTGGACTCAAGAAGGTATGAGTTCAGGTCCACGTCTGGGGTTCGGGTCCGGGTCCTGGTCTAGGTAAAGGGCTGGGTTAGACCTCAAATCTGGGTTAGGACTCCAGTTCAGACTTGTTTGTGTTTGTTTCAGTCTCAAGCTTCTGCTGAGGTGTCTGAGATGTTTGATGTCCCAGAGGAGATCCAGGAGGAGGTCCATCAGGTCCAAGAGGAGGTCCCTCAGGTCCAAGAGGAGGTCCCTCAGGTGCATGAGGAGGTCCCTCAGGTCTCTGCTGAAGCTCTACCCCAGACTGAAGCTGTATCTGTGGGATATCAGGACCAGGACCAGCTGAACCCTGAGGGAGTGAGTCCAGACTACGCCCTGTCCTCCACACTGCCCCAGGACCAAGACCAGGACCAGGACCAAGACCCGGAGCAGGACAAGGAGAAAGACCAGGAGCAGGACCAGGAACAGAATGTCAATCTGCAGCAGAAAGACCAGGACCAGGACCTGGTCTGAGCCCAGGACCATGACATCACTGTGACATCACTGTGACATCACGGTGACATCACGGTGACATCATGGTGACATCACTGTGTGAAACATGTTTTTCAGCTGGATTTTATTTGTTTTTACTAAAAAGAACTGAACTTCTGACACAGAGACACACACACACACACACACACACACACACACAGACAAACACATTTGCAGAAGTTCAGTTCTGAAACGTTTCACTTCTGAGTGTGACTAACTCACAGTGTGTCATATAAACATAATAGTGTGTGTGTGCGTGTGTGTGTGTGTGTGTGTGTATGTGTGTGTGTGCGTATGTGTATGAGATACAACAAAGACCAAAGATTCCCAATGAACTAAAACAGTGTGTTTTTATCACAGCGTTACATGTTCTATATAAATAAACAATACAAGGTGTGTATTATTACAATGTGTATTAACAGTCTGTGTTCATGTGACATCACACACTCCAGAGAGCGACAGTTTCACATGCTGGAGAGAAAGAGAAGACAAGATATTCCTTTTTTGGTCCCACAGCGCAGTGCGCACATTACAGCAGAGAAAGAAGGAAATAAGAGCACTCAGATTGCACACGTCAAATAGAGACTATTATTAAAGATAATAGACAATATAATTATAATAAGATAATAAGATGGTAAAATAGAATAAAATAAACTCTGGAGCTATAATTACATGTGGTTCAGAAGTATTTACAGATGTGTATTCTATATTTTAGCTGAAGACGAAGATGGATGGATAATGCAGTAATATAATAACAGGTAAAGTGACTAATATTATCAGTGACACTTGAACAGACTCAACAGTTCTTGTTATACATTCTTGTTGCGACAGTAGCTCAGTTGGTAGAGCATTGGCCTTAAGGCCAGAAGGTCGTGGGTTCAATTCCCACCTCTGCACCTTCTCCATCCACTCCCACTGATGACTGCTGTCGTTGTGTCCTTGGGCAAGACACTTTACCCCACTTTGCCCAAAGCCCCCACTGAAAGATCAAGGCCATGCTCACACTCAGAGAGCAGCCGTCCTCCTGTGGACTCACCACCTGCAGAGGGTCAGTGAGGGGCTGGTGCTATGAGACTTGGGTGGCATCTCTGATTGCCACCCCCCTGACCCAGAAATGGATTAAAAGGGTAGAAGATGGATGGATGGATGGCATTCTTGTTGTACATTATTAGTTTAGTTGTATTCGCTTCTGCACTGTTCAGTGCGTCCCTGGGGCCAGGATGTGACAATGAAGGGATTCTAAGCTCAGATATTCTTTTATTCGTCCCAGAGTCTGAGGTGAGGTGTTCAGACCAGAAGTCTGTGAACTTTGATGCTAGCGGCTTTTTGTATAAAGTTCTTCTCCAATAATGCAGCTCTGCAGCGTCTGTGTCCACAGACTTTATATAACAGCAGTATGTGTTCACGGAGGTGCACCATAAGTTTATTTTATTATTAAACAGTACGTCCACATCAACGAACACGCTCGAAGCAGTTGCATAGTCACGGGAGCATGAGAACGCATCTGTTCAAAAGCACTGTGTCCCCAAGAAAGGCAGTTCTATTATTGTCCAATTTTTATGGAGGAATAAAACTCACTATGTGAGAAGATCCCAACTTGTAAAAACATATGACATCAAAATTCCTTATGGTACCACATCCAAACAGTAATTTGGGGGGATTACATTCCTTTTGTCTTGTGTTTTTGAGATAAATAAAATTCCAGTTAAACTATCAAAATTCCATAGTCAGGTTCTGCAGTTCTGAAAAATGATATTTAAACATAACTTCTCTCCTCATGCTTCAACTCTATGGAACAATAAATCGACTTTGTGTGGTAGAAAGTATATTTTTATAAGGGACTGGTTTGACAACAACATTATTTTTGTGAACGATTTGTTGGATAGTGATGGTAACATTTTAAATCATTCAGCTTTTTCAGATATATTTAAATGTAATTGTGAGTGCAGAATCTTTTAAAAAGTCTGTAAAGCGATCCCTGTCCGCGGCTTCACCTGATAAAAAACACATTGCATTATTCTAATGTTGTTATATCACTTCCAACCCTCAAGTTACAAGACGTTAGTTTAAATGACCCCAAATGTAATAACAAATTATTTAATGATTGTTTTAGACAATTTATTCATGCTGACTCTTTTAAAAAAGGCTTGAAGACTTATTTATTTAAGAAATCTTTTAGTTGATTGGGTTCTCACTAATGTCACTTTTACGTACATGTGTGTAAATGTATTTTATATTGTTTCGTCTTTGTCCACTGTTCTGTACAGCACTTTGTGATTCTTATCTGTGAAAAGCGCTTTATAAATAAACTCTATTTACTTATTTACTTACTTACTTTACCAGATCCTCTTTTAAGATCTTGCCCGATCACAATGATCTTTCTGTTTATACAAAGGCCTATTCTAAATGTATTAAAATATCTGTATCTCCTAAAGTAAAAGAGACTCATTTTAAGATAATCAATCACATTTACCCAGTGGGCAACTTTCTTAAAAGACGATTTATATTTGAAGTTGAGTCTTGTACGTTTTGTAACGTTGAAGATGAGTCACTAGATCATTTATTTTTCCATTGTCGTTACACTCAACAGTTCTGGTCCGATGTCAATCGTTGGCTAAATCTTAAAATGAAAATTCAACCTGTGAATATATTTCATATTGTATTACATGGACAATTTAGACTCCCAAGCTGAAACTGTTGTTAATGTTGTCCTAATGTTAGCCAAATATCACATCCACTGTAGTAAGTGGAGAGGGAATGAACGCTCCTTTCCCTGTTTCATCAACGAATTCAAATGATATTATAGCTCCTTAACCTTACTTAAGAAATATAAATCTGACAGAACTACCTCCTATTTGATTTCTAAGTATCTTTTGTTTTAACTATTTTAGTTCTCAGTTTAATTGTATAATGTAATTGTTGGTTATTTGCGTCCTCTACTTGTGTTTGTTTGTGTATATGTTCTATTGTTCTTAATAAAGTATTTTAAAAATAAAAAAGCACTGTGTCCCCCATTGTCAACCCTGGTTTTAGTTCTGGTGTAGCTCCTGTTTTGGCTGTTTACGAGTATTTTCAGTCTGCTCGCTCAGACCATAGACATATAAATACACTCTTTATAGGAGGATCTTGGAGTGACGTTGTTGTTTATAATTGCTTGCTTGCAATTGACGTCACGTCCGCCTCATTACATATGCGTATCACAAGGTGGTGGTCAGCCGAGAGCGGCGTTTTGAATATCACTTTTGCATGTGTTGTTTTAAACCTTTAATGGATACTTTATGGTTCCTCGTGAAGAGAGTACTAAAGAGCCTCGTTAGTAAGGACTTTATGAAAAGACGCAGAAAAGTGTCTCGCTATCATTTCACTAGCAAACGCTTTTACCTCTAAGGATTATTTATTTACCCAGCCATGCAGTCACAATGCGCAGTTATTACATCCCCATCTTTATTTAATCAACTTTCAGGTATGAGTTGGCGTTTTAAATAAACACTGTGAATGTTTGACCTGAAAAGAACACAGCCACAGACGCATTGTTTTTTTGAGAATGATAAGTTCATTCACCAATCCTTACTTACACGGCTCTTTACGATGCAGGATTTGTCCATCAGGATCTTAACTCTGAGTTCCTTAACCCACAGACAGACGGAAAAGTTGTAGCATCCATGCACGATACAGAATGAAAGTAACATATAGCGGAGGAATTGAGACTTATTAACATATTAGCATTTTCCGCGTTGCCAGCAGCTTCATCCTTGATATTACCAAAACATGCCTTGTGCATATTGTTAGAATGATGAGTTAGAACGTTAATCGCAGTAGCTTCAAAGTGTCATGATATATCCAAAAAAGCAAAAAAAATACTCGGAAGAGTCGCATTTTCTCCACATATCAGCAGCAACTCTTGCTTCGTCATACGGAAGTTTAGTAAGAATAGTTTTTCCGCTCTGGTCATGTGACTGTGGCACAACAGCATAGAAAGGTCCGTTCTTGTTGTGTGGTCAGTTCTACGGCCCGCTGGGGACAGATTACGTTTTTGTTCTAATTCTTTCTGAAAAGAAAGTGGTTGCCCTTTTATGCTGTTACCTACAGTAAACGTAGAACTCATATACTTACTTTTAGCTTGTCTTTATATCTCCTCTGATCTTCTTGCGTTAAAGTGCTTATATACAGTGCTATTTGGCCACTGAGTCTTTTGGGCCGCTCTGCCTTCTTGCCACACAGCGAGGTGCGCATGCGCACGCGGGTTTAAACAAAGATCCTCTATGGCTCAGGCCGCTAATGTCCCGTGACCACTTTGCGGCCCTCTGATTGGTAAAATGAGAGTGTGTGCGCAGTAGCAGAGAGCATGGGACAGGGACACAAGAGGAAGGCACTTTTACAGCATCCAGCTGAGTATTAGTGGGGGGGATAAAGCAACCCGGAGAACAACAGAAAGGAGCAGGTTATGATAACCAGAATGAGACTGGGTCACTGTGGGCTTGCTCAATGTCTGTTTCGGATCGGAAAGCACAGAGATGGCCTGTGTGAAGAGTGTAGTGAGCAAGAGACAGTGAAACTCGTTCTCATACACTGAAATATGCGTACCAGAGAAGACTGCTTTTTTCTCGTGTTCTTCACTTGGGACTAGAACGTGTGACTTTGAGATCCTTACTTGGGCCCCATGTGCAGCAGCAATAAGTGTTTCGTGCACTGGTGGAATTTATTTTTTGCACTGGGCTGTACCAAAGAATGTAAGTGGAGTGTTAGGTGCAGTAATTGTATCCACCAGTGAAAGGCAGCAATGCGCCGAATGGCCACAGTCTGAGGGAAATGTACAGGAAGAAGAAGAAGAAGAGGCGGGGCCTAACTGCGGCCTTATATCCGCTCTGCTACCGGTGTCTCCTCCTCTTTCCCCGCGGACCAGACCAGGACCAGACCCTACCCAGACTCAAACCCTCATCCATCAGACCAGAGCAGAGCAGACCATGGGCTTCGGGGACCTCAGATCCGCCTCAGGACTCAAAGTCCTCAATGAGTTTCTGTCAGACAAGAGCTACATCGAGGGGTGAGTACCACGTGTTCTTTTACCTCACCATGCTTTAGTAGTACTCCATGTAGTAGTAGCAGTAGTAATAATAGTAGTAGTACTAGTAGCCACACGCTCAAGTCCGGGTTTTTTCTGCAGCTAAAACGTGTTATAATGAATGTGTTAAACTGAAAGAGCCGCCGCCATTTTGTGTCTGTCAGACTCTGCTCACGAGTTAAAGCTCGGGTACGTAACTTGAGTCTCTTTGAATACTGCTTTGACCAGAGTTTTAAAGTATAATATTTGTGTTAGAGGGCGCTGAGAGTCCGTATCTGCCTCTTTGGGCTGAGTACTTATTGGCTGAGTGAGGGTGGTTCTTTGAGTTACCAACCCCAGACCCTGGTCTTGCTGGACCCTGAGGACATGATGATTTTCTCACCATCTTTCGGCTGATGTTTTGTTGATGCCACTCTTTCAGATCTGATCCTCATTGAACTAAGACCAGGTCTGGGTCTCTCTGTCCCTCTCTGTCCTCACAGTTTTCCTCTGTCCTCAGGTTCGTCCCGTCTCAGTCTGATGTGTGTGTGTTTGAAGCTCTGTCTGCAGCGCCCCCTGCTGACCTCTGCCACGCCCTGCGCTGGTACAAACACATAAGCAGCTACAGCGACAAGACCAGGTGAGAAACTATTAAATCTATTCTCTATGCACCAGAGGACATGATCACTCACCATCTTTCGGCTGAAGTTCTAATGATGCCTCCTTCAGATCTGATCCTCATCTGTATCTTGGCCTGGTCTGGTCAGTCCTGGTTCTAACTGGTTCTGTTCTGGTCCAGTCTTCCTGGCGTGCAGAAGCCTCTTGGTCAGTATGGTCCAGTGGGAGTGGCCGACAGCACAAACACCACTCCTAAAGCTCCACCAGCCAATGAGGAAGAAGAAGACGACGATGATTTGGATCTGTTCGGGTCTGATGAAGAGGTAACCTGCAGGCACTGATCACACCGCTCTCTGTCTCTGTCTGTGTGTCTCACTCCAGTCTCTTGTTTCAGGACGAGGAGATGACGCGTCTCAAAGAAGAGCGGGTCGCAGCATACGCAGCAAAGAAATCCAAAAGTAAGAACTTAATCACTAATCTCATTATACACAATATTCAGCCCACAATACGATGTCTATCACAATATTCAGCCAACAATGGTATATAATTTCATACTTCCATAATTTCCTGGAAGATATATGTGGACTAAAAATTAAAACGACAAACAATCTCTGACTGGACAGGGTCTCTTACAAATGTTGGAATTAAAATTGAAGATTAAACAAAGCTGTTGCTTACAAACCTTTTTCAAACCATTGAAAATGACAATGAAGAGTTAAAAAAATTGCAGCATTGGCTATGGCTGAAAACTAGAGGTGCACCGGCTTAATTTGCGTGAACGGTGAAATGTGCTGATCAGATGACATGAGGATTAATGCGCACAAGTTACTTTCGTCAAAATTGCGTAAACAAGTAACTCATGCAGCTATCGGTTAGGGAGATTCTACAGCGGCAACAACCATACAGTAATGATGGTAAGAAACGACACGAATTATGCACGAAAGTTATGGAATTTATTTCCCTCTGCCACCAGCCCTTGTCTGTTCAAACGACTCATGTCCATTGCTTTTATATACCATCATGGAAATATTTTGACTGTAGTCTGCCTGCCGCAGCTTTACCACTGACTTTACCACTGACTTTACCACTGACTTTACCACTGACTTTACCACTGACTTTACCACTGACTTTACCACTGACTTTACCACTGACTTTACCACTGACTTTACCACTGACTTTACCACTGACTTTACCACTGACTTTACCACTGAACACTGAAATCATCCCATGTCTGGACTTTGCACGTTATGTTCAGACATGTTGGATTAAGATGAGTGTAGTGTTAGTACAGACAGTCCTAAAGTGACGCATCGGAGCAGATAGCCGCTTGTTTATTGAAAGGAAAATAAAAGGCGCTTTGGCCAAAGCAGCGTAAGCTTTCCTCTGCGCTCCATGCACAAGTGCAGACACTGAGCGGCTGTTTAGCGCAGCGGGACTATTCAGAATGATAAACGTAATAAACTAACCCCTGCAAATGCTGAGATGCTAATATTACTAGATATTACTAATATAATAGAGAAAACATTGCCTTAACTATCTTTTTTAATCATTCTTAGAAATGCAACCTATAGTGTTACTCAATTTGAGCTGCAGCTATCGAAATAGTTCGGTAATTGATTATTCTATCGAATAGAGTAATCGAGACAAATAAAAACGTTTTTTGCCGAATTGAAAATATACAATATCAAATGAACCATTTAATGACAACTGTTTTTAAATTGTATACAGTTTATTGAATTCTTATTATCAAAAGAAGACAAGGCAGCGGCGATTGCACCTGTGCCACGGTTGATTTTCGAGTCCTTCCAGATCGAACAGAATGAGGCAAATGTCTCTGAGCAGCTTATTTAAAACGCTCTCTGTCAGAATAGCTGCTGGTGCTGGGAGCAGGAACTGGTCCTAGACCGGCTGTGATGGTTTACTGAAAGACGGGGAAAAGCAGACGTTAAGGCCCTGTTTATACTGAGACGCTGCGCAGACGTTTCCAGGCTATTAACAGAAACGACCTGGCTCCTAATGCAAATTTCTCAGCGTTCACATGAGGTTGAAAAACCATGTAGTTCTAGCGCCCGGCCAGTAGTGGGCAGAGAAACTTTACAACACGACCCCCAGCCCCGTGCCCAGCCCCCCAGTGTACTCACTTCCTGTGCCAGACCCTCAGAACGCACCAACATCATTCTGCATTTTAACAGCAGCTGTGAAAATGGGAACTGAACCTAGAGCTTCGCATGGTCTCGTTTGGAAGAACGAAGGAGTAGAATTATCCTCTGTGCCGCGCTGGAAGCCCACGAAGCTAGTTAGTGCGCGCTGTGCCATTGTTGTTTGTCCTCTGCTACTGCGCATGTCCAAATTTACGTGCGGGGAGAAGCGCGGAGGTTGGGGGTCAGAGCAGAGGGGGATTTCACACCTTTTCCCCTCTCGCGGGTGTGAAAGAGCTCCTCGCTGTGCAGCGTTTCTGAGTTGTCCCACTCTGCAGGCTCGATCTGAACACTTACGTTTTCACCCCCCTGGAACAGTCTTCGTATGAACGGTTGGTAGCAACCGACATCCAACTATACCGTTTTACTGCCACGGTGTCCGTGTAAACTCAGCCTAAATGTCAATCACACACCACTTCCAGTTCAATAAGTCCTACATTAGACAAATACAGCAGCCCTCACATGTCGTGCATCTCTGCAATAATTCCACATGACTATACATTTCTGCACTATACAATACTACACTTAAGCATTTTATACTTGTTTTTCTATTAAAAGTTAGAGCTTTTATTTAATTTTAGTACATCGTTATTGTTCACATCTCTTGTACCGTGTGCTCCTTATTCCTACAGCTCTAACTGCTGATGGATCTTGGTCCACAGTGTTCACACAGACCTATTTGCGGAGTTCTAATAACTGTCATGGAGTAGTATAATACCTGTTGGCACTAGGATTGTAGTGAATGTCAAATTAAGTAAAACATTCATAAGACATGTATTAGGAACTAATAAACCTTTCTGCTTCATCACTGCGTTAACAAATGAAAAGCTAACTGTGCGACTGGCGGCAACATTGAGTTTTTAAGCGCTTGGCAGTGGGAAAACCCCTCTTATCATAATCAACATTTCACTTTCACAACGTGCGCTTTACACCATAACATGAAAGTTGACTTACCTCGGTCTTCCCTCGATGCCTCTCTCAGCTGCGGCAGCATCTGGTGTTGTCATGAGAGGCTAGCTCCACTTAGCTTAACTAAGCTTAAGTAGTGTCCCCCGTTGTTAGCCGCATGTGCGTCCCGAGGAAAAAGTTCATCTCTTGCTTTTGCAGCATGCATAGTCGCCGCGCCCACTTGCTCATTAGCGGTTCATGCTCGGCTGTAATGGGTCGAGAAGCCTCCAGAATGCAGCGTACTTCTGACGCCACTTTACTGTTTTCTTCCAGTTGTCTACCATGGTGTGTGTATATATAGTTATTTCGTCGGCCAGCCCTAGCATTGGCATGTTCTGGATATTTAACTTTTTTTTTCCCACACACTGCTAAAAAAGCAAAAAAGGTTAACTGCAAAAAAACAGATGACAGGTTTGATTTGTCCACATTTTTACTTCTGGGCACAGCCAACATACATTATTAATGAAAGGGAAAAAAGTAAATTTTAGCGAGTTGGTTTCAGTGCTTCAGGAGTCGCATGGACACCTTTCTGAGAATTATTCTGGCTGTTGTGTAGTACCGCGGGGGGTTTGAATGGGACTTGTATTGATAATTGCGGCTGAATAATCTATTGTATTGCAGGGGGGGGAAAAATAATTTATCTGGAAATGGATTTTTACGACTGTAATCTCTGCTCTGTCGTGATTGGTTCAGACCAGCGGGGGGCGGGTCCCGGCTCAAAAGTGGCCAAAATGACGTGCGCTGACATGCTTGCAATACCACCCTGGGCCGATGGGGGCATGTGTCAATGCTGAGGGAGTGAATTTTTTTGGACTAGTTTAGTTGCTGTGAATTTTTGAAGGCACTTGTTTAATGAAAATTGCGGGCAGGACCACTCACAGCCATTTTGGATAGCCTCCAGTACAGCACAATTTTTGTCCCGGCGGACACGCCCAACGGCGGCGATGGGCGTGACTATATTTGCAGTCTATGGTTCGAATAGAGATGCACGACATATTTGCAGTCTATGTGTAATGCCGGGTTGCAGTGTATCGCCTTTTGAGAAAAGGAAATAAATCTCCCCATTAACTCATGCACTGCCACCATGTATCGGCATCGGGCCGACATTTTTAGTGTTTTTCCAACCGCATAGAAATGCCCCTTGTGTATTGAAACCGGAAAGCTTGCAGTTTTTCGCCTTTTAGAGCAAACAGTTGAGAGTGCAACATAGGTAACTTTAACAAAAAATGCTGTTTCCTGACCAAGATTTGGAAAAAACAGCCTTTTTGTGAATCGCGCATTTTGAAACAGAAGTGTTTTTTTTTGTCTTTACTGATATTTTACAATGTATGACAGTTTCTTACTATGACACAAAAACAGAAACAATACTTTGAATTGTATTTTTAATATATAATTATTTTAAACAAATTAAACGTGTACACACAATACACTCAAAAGGATTGTCTTATGTACACATAAAATATTCAACTTGTATACAATAAAAACACTTTGTATACAAATATATACAGTAAAAAATAACACTTTCTTTGAACACTTTGTGAAACAATTTTACTTTAGTTTATAAAGAATAGTAATTAGGTGACCCCACACTCTGCTGAAGTGTGGGGTGGAAGCTACTTCATCTGCACTCCCAATAAATTTCCAGCCCAGTGAGAAATGTCAAACCAAAAAAGTTTTTAGCTGCTAGACTGTCACTGGGTTCCATGCATTTTCTCTTCTGAATGGGAGACGCTGTGTGTGTGCACTGAAATATTGTGCTGCATACAGCTTTGTCTGATTGACAATAAGATCCAGGATCCTGCAGTTCATTAGTTATGAAGAGCTGCAGAAGTCAGCTGCTGATCCAAAATCAAGCTCTGCTGCAGCATTTTGGGGTCCTGGGGTCAACAATCTACAACACACAGAAAAATATTTAAAATCACCATACATTTTCACATTATAACAAGTGTTTTGGCTTCAGCAGCTATGACATTGAGATAAAAAAAAAAACTCTTCAATATTCGCTAAAAATGTTACTTTGTTTATTTTTACTATAGTATAAGCCAGTGATTGCTATAGTCACTCCCTCCAGAATCTCTCAATGTTTGAACGCAAAAAAACACGCAGACTCCGGGATCAGAGCAGCAGAGGTCAGTCTCTCCCTTTTCCAAAGCAGCAGCGGGCGCGCTCCTGACGCACCCTCCACAGTGAGACTCACCACAGCAGAATGCACATGGTGCGGTAAATCTATAACACTTGTTGCTCATCATGGGTCACCTTCCCCTGTCCTTCTATAAACCACACGGTATCATCATCCATAGCTCCCTGGCAGCTAATGCTGCATGCCAGACTCGCACGCCTCCAAACTCAAACAGGGAAAGTTTTGGAAAAAATGTCCCGCGGTAATCACGCATTTTACCCCGCAATAATCATTCATCAATCAATAATTGCGCGCAAATCCTGGAGGGGCTGATAGTACATTAGACAAAGAGGAGAAATAAACTCGTAAATGCAACATGTTGAAGTGAAAAGCAACTTACCATCTATTACGACGGGGGGAGGAGCCGCTGATGCTGCTGCTGGTCGCAGGGAGGGGGAAGGCTCCGAGGATCCTGGAGCCTCATGTTAACTAAAACCTGAAGAACTAGCATCGTGGCATCTAGCTGCTTCATATTGATGAGCAGCGGTAGCTGCGTGAGCTTCTCAGATCCGCGGTCCTTTGTGTAAGCATGGCTGCTCCTCTGGCTGTTTGCTGCTCACAGCACCACATGCCCCCTTCTCCCTCCCTGGTTCTGGCCACAGTGTCACCTCTGCCCCCTACAGGATCGGTTCCAAAGTGTTTACAGGTCTGAATTGTTGACACTGGATGCACATGAGCCTTGCCGAGGCATAGACAAGAAAAAAATTACGAAAAAAACTAACGATTGACGTCTATAGATGGCGGTGACTGAGTTAAAGGAGCAGTATGTAAAAAAATCTGGCCAAAAAGTGGTACTGCAGTCTAGTCAATATTTTGGAGTCCTCTCCCTGACTCAGGTTGCCAGATACACACCAGATCCAGCAGCAAACACAAGGAATTATTTTATCAGTTTGTCTGTCTCCATTCATGATAGCCGTGCTAATATTGAATGAATTAAAAAAAATATATATTTGGACATTTGAGATCAGAAAAACAAATATAAGCAATTGATGTCCAAAATAGGAGTGGTAAGAATGATTGTTGGAACACATTTCTTCAGCGTATCACAAAAAGCTCCTGTGTGCGTTTCCACGCATTGCCCGTTCTAACTGAATTTCTTGTTTTCAGAATGCATTTTATTTCAGTTTGTACAAACTTTTATCATCTCGGATTAAATTAAATTAAAAAAAAACTATTGGCCATAACAGAAATGTGTATCGGCCAACATTTTCATATCGTTGCATCCCTAGTTCAGGTCATGTGTGATGTAGTGCTGATTGGTCAGTCTCTCCGCAGAGCCCGGCCCTCATCGCAATGATCCCGTCAATCTTAATTGGGACGTGAAGCCCTGGGACGACGAGACTGACATGAAGAAGATGGAGGAGTGTGTGAGGAGGCTGCTGATGGATGGACTGGTGTGGGGACAAGGTGAGATCAGAGGAACACAGGTTTGGGGACCAAGGAGTGATGATCTCTCTCCAGTCGTTCGGCCTGAAGCCCCTGATGGCTCCTTCAGATCTGACCTCTGTCCCCGGTGGCCTCTGACCCCTGACTTTGAGCTTTGTTTTGCAGCGAAACTGGTTCCAGGAGGATACGGCATCAAGAAACTGGGCAGATCAACTGGGTGGTGGAGGACGACAGGGGGTGTGGCCATGTGTTGTGTCTGCAGGTGGGCACACATCCTGGAGTGTGTTGTGTGTAACTGTGTTGTGTTGCAGGTGGGCACAGACCTCCTGGAGGAGCACATCACAGCCTTCGAGGACCTGGTGCAGTCGGTCGATGTCGCCGCCTTCAACAAAATCTGAACAAATAAACTTTACTTTAATGCTGGCTCTAACAGTTTCCTGTGTCACTGGTTTCACATGCACCATTCTCTCACCGTTTCACTTCACATATGACACACACAGCTTCCACCTGCAGAAGTTCTCCAACTCCCATTGTGGACTGTGTGTCTGAGTGGAACGAACTAGAATATCGGTCGGTTATCACGGACTTCGTCAACTGATGTGAGTGCAACCACTTGTGCTTGAACACCAGTAAGACCAAGGAGATGGTAATCGACTTCAGGAGAAAACTGCTGAACATCCGGGGGAGGACATGGAGCTGGTTGACGGATTCAAGTACCTGGGTGTCCACATTAAAAAACTGGACTGGTCCCATAATACCAACGCCCCTGTACAAGGAGGGCCAAAGTCGCTTCCACCTTCTGAGGCCTCTGCTCAGGACATTTCATGACTGGTAGCTTCTGCCATACACTACACTGTCGTGTGCTGGGCAGCGGAATTGGCTTAGACTCAACAAGCTGGTCAGGAAGGCCAGCTCCGCTCTGGGCTGCCCCCTGGACTCTGGAGGAGGTGAGGAACAGGAGGCTCCTGGACTCTGGCACCTACCCCAGTCAGTCAACTCCATCATGGGCAACACTTCATTTTAATGACCTGCACTAGGACCAAAAAAACTCACTGCTATAGTCAGATTTCTATTGTACATAATATAGTCCCTACTGTGCCAGATATATTTTATTTTGATTCTATTTATGCCAATGTGACCATTTATCTTGCGAGATTAAAATGTGTCTTATTTGATGTCTTTGGCTGTGCTGTTTACACGGAGCCTAGTGTATACTCGCGCGGAGCAGAGCTTACGGAGGGGACGTGACGTCACTTGCGCAACGCGTTTGTCACCGCAAGTTTATACGTTGCCTGCTGCGCAGCATCGCAATTTTCTAAACACTATTAAAAATGAAATGGCTAAAATATTGTTAGTATTAGATAGCAATATGGCCTACGTGCAGGACTGTACAAGGACTCTATGATTTGACTGTCTCTTTGTGACACGTATGTCTTTCCATGTGTGACGTGACAATGACTAAACTGTGTACTGTCTTTATTTTGTCTGGGATAAAGAAACAAAGTAAACCACTGGAACTTGAGAGAAACTTAAATAAACTTCCAGAGTTTGGCACACCACGATCCGTCTCTCTCTGCTGAATCCTAACAGATTTGGTGGAGAATGCGCGGCTCAGTGTGTGCCATTCTCTGGATTGTTTTGAGGGAGTTTGCTTTGTTTCTTTTATTACAGGTGATACCGATCCAGTTCTCTCACCATGGCTGCTCTGTCTTTACAAATGATGTTCATGAACTCTGCTCGCATTTTCTGTGCACTCAAGGATGATGGTCTCAATGGGCTTGAGGTATACGAGATAAAATGTCAGCATCCCCGTTAGCAGTTCCCAGCCGGTACTTTAAAAGGTGAACCTGTAGTCTGCCAGCTCCGACACCCATCGGTGCCGACAATTGTGACATGTGAGTGGTTTATTGTCGCTGTAGAAAGTCAGTGTGGAGCAAGAAACAGGTGTCACGGAATCGTTCTGGTATAGCCCTTTTAGTACGAGAATTCAGTTACCTGAGGGCAGCTTGTAATTATTCTCTGCAGGCATCAGGATTCTGGATCCATTAGCCAATCACTCTCCAGGACGCCCACTTGGACGCTGGTTCAGCATGGCACCGAGTCCTTTTTCGGAAGCGTCAACGTGGAGAATGAAGGGTTTTGCCAGGTCTGGGTAAGTAATAACAGGTGTGGTTGTGAGTTGGGTCTGTGGTGGTCTCTAAAATGCGTTTGAGGGTCTTGTCTATTGAACAGGTAGGGGAAGGTGGGAGCTGGCATTGGGGCATTTAGTCCCTTCTTGTGACAGGGTCTGTGGCTCACTTTGGGCTTTGTCAGCGGCTCGTACAGTGTTTTGCAATCATGGCAGATGTGTGCCAGAGACACGGGGGGGATTTATGTTCTGTAGTAGCTAAGAAATCCAAGGAGCTTCCTCATTCTCAACTGTAGCTGGGGTATGCTGTGTAAGGGCTTCACGGCCTCCTCTCTTTGGGGTTCATCCCTTTACCTCTGCAAGAGATGACATTGGCCCAATATAAGTAAACTTGTTGCTTGAATAATCTAACGCTTTTTACAGGGCCAGCCACAGATTTACGGAGTTACATTTACACAAAGCCCTTCACACACACACAAGTCAGATTTAAAATCAAAGAAACAAGAGGCTCCTCATCTGATCTGTGATTTATTCGATTTTGTAGTTTCGTTTCACGTTCAAATTTCGAGCTCAATGAAAACGAGCTTAAATTTTGCCAGAGTGGGAAAATTGTTGTCCAAATCTTGAATTCATGCTTTTTTTGTGATGAAGGGTGAGATGAGCGTACACATTTACACCACCTCCAGACTCTGTGTATATTTGTACGCTCACGTCCAGATTGATTTAATGCCGAAAAGTGTCACTTTTTTTGCGTACGCCTCATTTACACCCTGATTTAGCCGTACTCAAGTTTCATAACTGAGGGCCAATGAGAGCTGCCAATGAGACGCTCATAGCACCAGTCCCTCTGATCCTGCTGCAGGTGGTGGGTCCACGGGAAGATGGCTGCTCCATCAACAGTGACCGCCTTGATTTTTCAGCGGGGGCTTCGGGCAACGTGGGGTGAAGTGTCAAGGACACAGCAGCAGTAGACATGAGTGGGAGCAGTTTGAGCAGGTCCTGTGGGGGGGATTGAAGTGAACCCATGACCTTCAGGCCCAAAGGCCAACTATCAGCCACAGAGCCACTGTCACTTTTATTTATTTATTAATTGTGAGAATCAGATCATATTATATTATTATTATTATTGAAACATATTAGTCCTTAACATAAAAAAGGCTTAAACAGCAGCAGGACAGAGACTTGTCTGTGTGAAATAAATGAATGTTTTGCTCTCTGCTATTGAATAACTGTCATAAGGAGCTTGGATGTATTTGTGGCTTGGTGCCGTGGTGTGTGCCATCTTGTCTTGCACAGTTGTCCAGTGTGGTTTTTACTGAGAATGGCAAATAAATTCTTGAATTTAGGCTAACCCTAAACATTAATCTTAACCCTAACCCTCTTAGGAGAAAGAGTAAGAGATCCTTTATTTGTCACACAGTGGGGAAATTTCAGTGTTGCATCACACTTAAAGCACCAACTGACACAAATCAGATTTGAGGTAATGTAACTTTATCTCTAAAACATTCAAAAAGGTACAAAACAAAGTAACATATTTGTGGTTTGAAATCCTCTGACGTCAAAATCAACACTGTGAGCCCAGGAGGTCGGGATCAGGGTTCAAAGGTCAGGGTTTGATGGCCCTGTGACGTCTGCAGTGAATCACTGTCCAGATGAAGTTCAACCACTTTTCTCCTGGACTTCGGGCGTTGGGACAGAGTTTGAATCGCGGCAGTTTCACTGAAGAGGAAATGTTTCGTCAGAACAGGCTCAAAGCTAAAACCATCACAGAATCTGACAAGAGACCAGAGAGAAGCCAGAGAGAGACCAGAGAGAGACCAGAGAGAGACCAGAGAGAGACCAGAGAGAAGCCAGAGAGAGACCAGAGAGAAGCCAGAGAGAGACCAGAGAGAGACCAGAGAGAAGCCAGAGAGAGACCAGAGAGAGACCAGAGAGAGACCAGAGAGAGGCCAGAGAGAGACCAGAGAGAGACCAGAGAGAGACCAGAGAGAAGCCAGAGAGAGACCAGAGAGAAGCCAGAGAGAGACCAGAGAGAGACCAGAGAGAGGCCAGAGAGAGACCAGAGAGAGACCAGAGAGAGACCAGAGAGAGACCAGAGAGAGACCAGAGAGAGACCAGAGAGAGACCAGAGAGAGACCAGAGAGAGACCAGAGAGAGACCAGAGAGAGACCAGAGAGTCCACAGGAAACAGCAGGAGACCATACCCAACGCATTAACTTCAAAATACTCCTCACCACTTTCAAAGCACTTCGCAACCCGGCCCCTCCGTACTTATCTGACCTCCTCCACCCTGCCACTCCTGCCCGCACACTCCGCTCCTCCTCCACCCTCACACTCTCCGTCCCCCCAGCCAGACTCATCACCGTGGGACACAGAGCCTTCAGCCGTTCTGCCCCCCAGCTCTGGAACTCTCTCCCCCCGACCTCTGTACCATTGACTCTCTTCCACTCTTCAAATCCAGACTCAAAACCCATCTGTTCAGACTGTCCTACCCCACCTAACACACACACACACCCACCATCCCATAATGCACTACTGTTTTATTCTGTTGCTTCTGTTTTTAATGTTTTTATTATGCCCTGTACAGTGTCCTTGGGTGTTTTGAAAGGCGCTTTTAAATAAAGTGTATTATTATTATTATTATTATTATTATCATCATTATTACTACCCCTGGTTGTAACCCAAACACATTTCCTAAAGTTTATCTGAACTTGAACAATAGAAATCTTCCATTAAAGAAGCTATACCCGATTTTTTTCTAAGTAGTTCATAAAAATGCTTTTTACTACATACAAGTTGTATCATAATGCATAATTTAATTGAAAACTTGAGGTCATTCATTCAGCTGTGTAAGAATTACAAGCAGTGAAAAGTGCTGAGTAGAGTCTGAGCGGGCCGTTTGTTCTCCTCCACTCACAGAACGAGCAGCGAACAGCCTGCGTCCTCTAGCCTCTACAGCGCTGCTTAAAGTGGTTCTCACCCCCGCTCCTCGGAGCTTACGTCACTCACATTTCCTGTTCAAATCTTCCTCTAAATGGGCGTAGCCTGGAGGACTAAAGGGGGCGTGAACGAGACTGGGCCTTTTACATTGCTCTGGGCGGGGCAGAGCAATGTAAAAGGCCCAGTCTCGTTCACTGGACTCACCTGAGGAAATGGGTGGAGTTTGATGTGCTCCTGCTCAGGTTGGAGCTAAAACCTGCAGCCACACCGGCCCTTTGAGGACCGGTTTGACACCCCTGGCGTAGGGGAAATGAGAAGCCTGTGAGCGAG